GAGCGTCGACTTTCAATCTTTCGAGATGTGATTTGTATATATTTATATGTGCGCTTGCCCTTTCTTACGGATTTACTCCTAGGTTCATAATACTGGTTCTCAGGTTGGCGTCTTTGGTTTGGCTCAAGAAATAAGAAGTTTCTATTGTGCGAGACCGCATGTCCCCAATGCCTGGGTTTCTCTTTTGCTTCAGACCGAGCCAAATTCAGCACGAGATGGAACCATTGTCAATAGGAAGAAGGCAGTGAACAAATTGGAATCCCAAAACGAGGCTGTTGGCTAGTTGCAGTTTTCATTTTAATTGGCATTTTAGTTCTCGTTTTTGGCTGCATTGTTTGGGGGAGGGGTCCGACTGCATTCAGAACATCATCTTCCTCGCCACAATCCACTGCAGCGCATTCGCCTTTTTGGATTGTAGCTTTGTAGTTGTCAATGCTACATCTGAAGCCTTTTGCAAATGAGTTACATGATTTACTCTCCTGGCTCTGAAAAAAACAAAGCATAACTGAATCAATCCGCTAGTGATTCAGCTTTCTGCAGGCGCTTGGAGCAGAGGCACAGCGTCCCGGAGGCCAGCTGAGAGGACTTGGGATTTCAGCTGTTCGATTCCTTGCATTAAAAACGGGAATTTGGACACTTTGGTAAGTGAGCTGAGGTCTGCCTCTGACAGCAACATGACTGTCGTGCAGGTGGGAACCTTGGTTCACAGCATTCTTGTGACTTGTAGCTCCTTGCCAAGGATAAAAAGCCCACAATTTGTGCAGAAGGCAAGGAGTACTTCTACGTTTACTTTCATGTTACACTGCGTGACTTCCAGTTTGGTATGTCTTTGTTTCCAGCTGCGGAATGGGTTCTTGCTGTGCGCATTCACGTATGAGCTGCGTGGGTCTGACGCATCTTTTTGCTCTGATGTAGAGGCTGTAACAATACTTGCCGCGATTTGGCAACAGTCACCTGGAAGCACAGTGTGAATGAACTGGTATGAACTGGTGAGGGTTCAAGACTTCGAGACAGCTTTGAAACACACTGATATTTCCTTTCGAGTGTTGAACCTTAACAAGAAACAAACATTTTTTTGAAAAAGCTTGGCCTGCAGGTGACGCGACACCTGCCCAGTTGTGAGGGGATCCTCGGCAGCGACTGGACCAAGTGGAGCGGAGCATGGCCATGCTCCTGGGGAAGAGTTCGCAGCAGGCCCAGATCTTTTGATCTGTGTTGCATTGATTGCAAGTGTGTTGGCGTCTGTTTGTGGCACCTCATTGTTAGAAATCGATGAGTTGAGCAGCCAGGTGTCCAGCCCAGATGCCCGCTACCACCATCGAAATCCAGGTTAGGTTGACAGGTCTCAAAAATATATTGAAGTTGCAGGATGTGTCCAAATGGGCTGCTGCTGTGTGTTGGTCCAGTTCAATCCTTTGACATGGTGCAAACAGTTTTGCCATCGCTTGTGGAATTGAAACCGAACGCTGAAAACAGGTGCTTCCGATCAATATCAGCCAGGAAGAGCATCTCCTGCAGGCAGAGTTTCACTTGAAAGATGTTGGGATGTTGACATGAGAGGTTCCTTTCTAAAACGAGCCCACCGTGTTTCTAGAGCAGCTCGTTCATCCAAGAAAGTTCCAATTTTCATAAATCATCCTTGTTTGGATATTGTGGAAGGCAGAAGAGCACGGAGGAGCTAGCGACGAGTCGCCAAAGAATACTTCCAGGTAGTTGCCGTTTCTTGTGACACACTCAATGCTGTGTTCTGAAAGGATTCAGCAGTGTAGGTTCTGGATGCTGTGCGCAGCATCGTCCGTCATGGATTTAGTGCTCAGTGCTCAGATGCCATTTTGAGCTGTTGGTTTCTCTTTCTTCGCGCAGCAACATGTCAGCACATGCCGTCATCACAGGCTCCTGCCGCTGACCGCAAAGCTTCTGTGAATAAGACAAGGGTGGTGATCGCAAAGCTGTGAGCCGAATTCAATGCAAAAGAAGATCTTACACCAACAATTCAGGATTGAATCTTCCAGTGCCAGTCACATCATTTGTTGCTTTAAGCTCTGTGCACGCGCCTGGGAAAAAGGTATATGCGGAGGCTTTGACCAATCCAGCCACGCGATACACCAAGGTCTTTTTTTCGTACACATGCTCGAAGAAACTGGGGGCATCACGGAATTTGAAGCAAACTTTCGCAGTTCCTTTCAAAAAACAGATGGCTGTTGTTAGATTCAACCAACAGGGCTTTTCCTTTCGCACCTTTCTTCACTTGTGTTTTGGCCACAGCAAGACAGTTGCAAGCTGCTAAGCAGTCTTGTCACGGTCTGACGGGTGCAATGCAAGGAACTTGCGCACAGCAACTTTCAAATGCACATGGCCTTGGCTGTCTATTTTCGTTCTCACACTTTGCACCTCAGCTCTACGCCAATGAAAAGCAGAGTGGTGAGTAGGGCCTGTTGTCCATCCTGACTTGCTTGGTTTCTTTGGCCTGTTTTGTTTATCGCAAACAGTACTTGACCATGAGTTTTGTGTAGGACTCTTTACACAAAGGAGTGGGCGTCGTACTCTGGGCTAATGCAAGTGTGTCATCTGCATTTTGCAGGGTCCCTGCACAAATCAGCTCGGAGTTTATGCAGAAGTTGTCCGGCAAGGCAGCTGTCAAGATTGGCAGATGAATCCAGACAAGACTAGACAAGACCACATCGACGCATCATTTAGTTTGAAGCCTGTTGGACATGCCATTCATTGAAACCTTTTTGTCTGTTTTAGCACGGGCGAACTAGTCTGGCCATGATCTCTTGCGTGCTTTTGGTCTTGCACCTCAAAGCACGGAACCTAAAGTGTTTTGATTTGCGCTTGTGTGGGCGTATTGACAGCATTTGTGAAACCAATGCAGTGTTGCAAAGGCCCGAGCAGCCGCTGCCAAGCAAGCAAGGCGCGCACTCAGAGAAGGTGCAGCAAAACTAATCTGACCCACAGGTGTTGTGCAAAGAACCCTCCTGAGCGAGCGAGAGTGGGGCATGGGCACGGAAAAGTGAAACAGGCTAACTTGCTGTCACTGCCAACGAGCAAGACATAAGATGCAGATGACGCCGAGAATAAGTTCTGTCGCCTAATTGTTTGCCAAAGCCACGCCTCCCTATATGACTGATGTCTGGCTGTTCAGTTGCGTGCGGTGTCTTTGTTGTTCTTACCCCCACAAAGTGCAATCATTGCGCCTTGCGTGCATTCCTCCAAGTAGATGGTAGGAAAAACCAACAAGGATTTGAGGAGCAGGACCAGGCGGGCTTTTTTCCTCACGCTCACCTGCAATGCTGTCTTTGATTAGCATGCACATCCCAAGCTATGTCTTGTCGCGGAGGAAGCACATGTCCCCGAAGCGCCTCCTCTACCTGTGTCACCTCAGATATTCAGACAGGCGCTGGGCCTCCAGTAATACGCTTTTGAACCCAACTAGCCCAACCGTTTCACATGGATTGGCACATATCGAGTGCGCCATGAAGTGGAGGAGTCTTCAGCAGAAGCAGGCTGCAAGGTTACAAAGAAGACAAAAGGGACAGCCAAAGCAGTGGTGCGGGGCATAGCCTTTCATGCGTTTTAGGCGCGGCTGGTAAAAGGTGGCCTAGCCTGTGCTGCATTTGCATTGCGTACTCAGCTTGAGCTCTTTCGGGGGGAAGTGTGCTTGTGCCGATTCCTGTAAGAGCTTTTGTCCACATGTAGGTTTCAAGAGAGAGCGTACCCTCCAAACTGATTGCAACATGCTCACATGGTTTGCAGTCTTGTCTGCGTGCAAATGAAGGATGCGCTTGTTAAACTTCTCCACCACAGGCGAGGATTGTGGATGAGAAGAAGCGCTTCAAAATCAAGTGGCGTGGTTATCAGGTCTCAGAGACTTGTTTGGGATTGAGTGTTGACAAGCCTTTGGAGATCACCATAGCTGCCCTTGGAGATGACAAGCGCAAATTGTCAAGAGCGTTCCGCGTGCGAAGGAAATAGCGGCGAAGTGTACGAAACTTGAGATGGCAATGATGACTTCAGAAATGCGGTGTTGGATTCGATGCAGACTCAGGCTTGCAACTTGCGCGGCAAGGACGGCGGAAGAAGGCTGTGGAAAAATTGAAGGAGATTGCTTGTGCATTTTCTTCCCATGTTGATTCATGCTGGAAACAACACATCAATGCGAGCCATTCCCGGGCCAGGAAAGGCTGAAGGCGAGCTAGTGGACTCTGAAGGCGGTTGTAGAAGTCAACCTGCAATGTGCCCAAAGGGCGCTCTTGGCTGAGCGAAGCCTATGTACTTTTGCAGCGGCATTACAGACCTGAAAGGGTTCTGTCGTGCGGGTGTGTCCTTTCAACGGCCAAAGGCAATAACGCGCAGGGAGATAGTGGGGCGCTTAATTCGTCAAGCCATGTTTTTGACTACATTTGTATCAGTTTTACAGTTGATTGAGTCACGCTTATTTCTTTTGTAGGCCTTCTCATGCCCTGCATTCAAGACACCTTTGCTCAAGCGGATCTCTGGAGTCAACCAGGTACCAGCAAACATGTCTCGCACATCGCATGCTGCACATGGAATGCAACACAATTTACAATGTGTAGTGTACACAGTTTCTCCTGATGGCACATACATGTCAAAAGGTGTACGTAGACTGCAACTTAAAACCATATATGATGCATTAACAAATTTTAACCAAAGGAACTATTGAACTATGATAACAGGTAAGGCTAAGATTTACCATGGGCATCTGGATTTTTGAATGTGATGGTTGTTTGCCTTTGCTTCTTCCGCAGCCATTTCATGAGCTCTGCGAACGCCCCTTCGGCAGGCCTGCGGGGACTGTGGCTATCGTGTTGAGTGTAGCTTGGGGTAGGCTTGACTTGCAGTCGGTGTAGTCACTTCGTGTACGCGCTTTTCGAGGCCTTGTGCGGAGCTCTGGCAGTTCCTGGAAGAGGCTCCGGCCGGCAGAAAGTGCTTCGCAAGCAGTAATAACAAGCTCAGCTCTTTGCATGCTTTCTTTTCGCAGAAATCTGAGTGTCCAAGTCATGTTGGGCTTGTAGCAGCGATGAAACAGCGTATCGGAGCCATGTTCAGCCGCGTGCCCGGTAGCGTACCAGCTCTAGGCGCAGGTGCTGCTATCGGTGGCTTTGTGCTAGACGCTTGGAAGCGCCGGCAAGAAGAACAAGATCGCGCTCGTATGGTTACTCGCGTGATCCACAGTTCCTTCCACGCTTTCCAGCCCAAAGTGGAAATCCCGCGCGAGCAGGTCCAGGCCCGGTGTCATGCACAAGTCGTCAGCATCCGTGTCGCTTTGTCTTTCACCCTGTTGTGCTAGGTCACCATGAAGCGCCTGCTGGATCTGGATGACCGCTCCCCCGTGCTGATCTGGGGCAGCCACCTGGCCGGTAAGAGCTTTGCCCTCTTCAAGGCTTTCGAACAGGCAGGCTTTCGCGAGGGCGTCGTCCACGTCAAGCTCGCCGACGACAAGGACGTTGCGCGAGAACTGCTTTGCAAGCAGCTTGGTGCCCCCGGCCACGTTGAGGCCGAGGAGGCCCTGAGGCAGGCGGCAAAGACGCTGAGCCGCCTGCCCATCATTGTCCTGGAGATCCCCCGGGAGGTCAGCGACATGGCAGTTGTACGCAGTTGTTCTGGCTTCGCCAAGACATGGGGCTACGACGCCGAATTGGCGAAAGTCATCGTGTTGGCGAGCAGCGCCTCCATGGCCCTGAGCTTTGATGCGGACGCCCGGGAAGTTCGGTTCCAGATCCAACCGCTGAGCGAGGAAGAGTGCCAGCAGGAGGAGGCGGGTTTGCTGAGAGCGTTCCTTTGAGTTTTTGTTTGGCTCTCCCTGACCAGGTCCAGACGTTCCTCAAGCACCACGGTGGAGCCGTCGCCGTCGAGCACAAGTCGGAACTCCTCCACCTCTCCGGCGGCAACGTGGGCAAGTTGGAGGCCGGTGCATTGTCTTGTCTTTCCAGCCTTGTCTTTGCAAAGGCTCGGTGTGTTGCGAAGCCTTTCCAGCCCCGCAGGACCTGGCGCAGGCCTTGCGGACCAAGACCTTCGAGGAGGTCCGGCTCGAAACCATCAGCGCGCAGGACGGGGTTGACTTGAGCCTTTTTGTTTTGCGCCTTTTTGTTTTGCGCAGTCAGGAGGAGGAGATCCTGCGCTTCTTCGGCATCGATGCGCAGGGCGGCTTCGGCCCAGAAAAGGTCCTGGCTGCCAAGGAGGTGGCCCGCCGCGTGGCGGACGCCCCCTTTGAGCAGTGCGTAAGGTCCGTGGACTTCGCTGACCGTTTCACCAGCAAGGATCTGGCACAGGCGGTGAAGGCACGAGGTGCCCACTGCATCTATGTCAAGGCCACCACTAAGGCGGATGAGCGGTTTTGTGCAGCGTCGCCATCCGTGCACGCTCTCCTCAAGCAGAAGACCAGGTGGTTGGGAATCTTCTGATGCAATTGAAATCGACAGGAAGCCTTAAGAAGCTCATTCCACCACAGGGCGGACGTGCAGCCTGCCAACAGCGCAGGGCCAGGATTTTGATGACTGAAAGTTGAGACATCCTAGAGAGCATTAGAGTTTGAGCGAGAAAATGCAGATCTCGGCACTGGACTCAGTTTTGATGACACATCGTTGACACAGCCTAGGGAGCATCAGAGTTTGAGTGAAAAGAGGGGCAAGCTGCCAGTCCATGTTGACTTACTCTGCGCAGGCGGCGGCAGTGCAGATCTCAGGTTCCTGTTCAAAGTGCAGACCTCTGAGTGCAAGTGCCCGGTGAGAGTTGTGGCTAAGGCAGGGCGTTAGGTGTGTTGTTTGCCGCGTGTTGGGAGCTTGCGAAAACCCAAAGTACTCTAAGTACTTCCAACCAACTACTAAGTCCAACCTAAGTAAGACTCAGCAAAGTCTCCTTTTCTCCAGGCACATGAGCCTTGAGCCAAAGTATTTGGCAACCTAATGATGACAAAAGTAAACATGCAAGAGGGGACAAAAGTGCATGATATTTCGCACCCCTTGACTTAAAGCCCTGTGACTTTAAAGTCACACTAATTAACCTTGCATGTTTCAAAGTTGAATAACCATGCAAAGTACTGAAAAAGTCAAGCTACTAGTTCAAAATTCCAGGATCAGAAAAGTTCAGTCAGCATCTTTTCAATTATCCTACCAAAGTTGACTTCGAAACCAAAAGTTGGGATGTCTCTAGTACAAAGTGGTTGGCGCCTAAAGCACTTCAAAACTCCTTTGCATAGTTTGCCTTAAATAAAAGTGAGAGTGCCAAAGTGAGTCTGTCCCATGAACGTAGTTCAAGGATCACTTGAACAAAAAGTAGAAACAAAAGCTTGAAGCAAAAAGAAAACGACAGCAAAGTCGACGCCCAAAGTTTCAGGTGACACTCAAGTGAATTCTGAATTCAAATCTACAGCATCGATCTGAAAAGTGGAACCAAAAGTTCTCAAGGGATTGCATGTTCATTATCTGTGATTAGCCATGGTTAATATCATCATCAGGGACGTCGCGTTAGTGACCGACCTGTGGTGTTTTGGCTCAAGTTTTGGGTTCCGTCGCGCCTCGAATGGGCGTCGCCGAACCCCTGCGTCGACCGACGGCATCTCGGGGGAGAAAGAGACCTCGGGCCGCCGCCAGGTTGGTAGGGACCAGTCGTGCGGCCTGTTGTCGACCAAGGTTGCGGGTTAACCCTTTTCTTGTTTGGTTTGTTTCCTTTGGTTGTTGTTCTCTGGTGTGTGGGAAACCCTGATCTTTGGGACCGGGGATTGGTTTGCTTTTGGGGAACCTTTCTTTTGTGGCTTGTTTACCCCAACTTACCCATTGCCTGGGCACAGGCTCGTGCCCGAACCACAGGTTATCAGCCGTAGGACTTTCCTACGCGCTTGAGACCATCAACTACAAGCTCTATGTCGACCCCACGATCTCGAAGGAGTGTCGTGAATGAGGAGGCCATCCTAGGGGGCCTCCGCTCAGGTGAGGACCTACCGGACTATGACTACGAGGATTTCGAAGCAGGTTCGACGGGTCAGGATCGCAGGGGTGAAGATCCCGGTAGGGACACACCCAGGAGCCGTGGCAGGTACACGGACGACGGAGACGATCGTATTTTTCGTCAGGCCACTGATGACGAGCAGGCACAAAGAGTTCGCTCCGATAGGAGCGGCTCTGAGTCAGGTCGCAGGCGCGGACAGTATGACTTCATCAGCATGGCGATGAACATGGCCCGCCGTCATTCGGACGACCCGGAGGCTATGCCGACCCGACCCCCGAGATCTCTTGTTCCAGGTGAGTCGCAGGTCTCGGATTTGAGGACAGGCCGCAAGGACCAGGGACTATGGTCTTGGCTCCGAGAGATATCTTGGGTCGATCCACTGGTTCTCAAAATCCAGGTAGTTTGATGAGCACGAGGAGCGGAAATTCTCAGACTTCGGATACGATGCTCTGTTGAAATCAACCGCAGGTTGGGGCAGTAGCTCAAAGCAGGGATCTGATGCCGGTAGGCCCAACCCTAATACTGCCAAATCTGAGTCTTATGATGGCGAGGATTACAATTTTGCGGATGAAGAGGAGGACCAATCACGCCGAAATGCTAGGGTCCGTGAAGCTGCGAGGCCCAGGAGCCTCTCTCGTGGGGCCGCCAGGGACCTTCGTGTTGACAGGGACGTCCGAAGCGAGAGAGAGAGGGCCGGGGACAGTCGGGAAGTTCTTCGGGGATTGGAGGCCATCCATGACCGTGATGGACCGATAGGTCCCCCGGCGATTGGTGATTCCCCGAATGTTCCTCCTTTTCCCAACATTACCTTTGGAGGTCCGTTGAATCAGAGAGACGTGAACTCGAACCGGGTTACTGGTTCGCCGAGGATCACTGAGCGGGCTGCCGATGTCGTTAGGACAGGTGCCAGAGATGGTCGGCTTGCCGGTGCACTCGGGATCGAAGATCGTCCGTCGATCGCTAGCCCGTTAGGGCGAGATACCAGCGATCTTGAAACGCTGAGGTCTAGCAACCACACCTCAATGGGGCTCGACCGCCAGGGAACGTAGTGTTTCTGCGAAGAGGCCGTCACCTCTCGCCATTGAGACCGATAGGTCGAAGGCGAGGAGGGCTAGCCCCTCACCAATGGGCTTGACTGTGCAGGATGAGGAGATGCCCGATCCTGCTGATGTTCACATTCACTCTACCCCCGAGTCCCGTGCATCCAACATTGATCCCCGACCTGGCGATAGCCGGAGAAGGGGATCTACCCCGAGTAGGCCACCCAGGATTGATGATTGTCCTGTAGGCAACCCCAGGAGACATGCCGGGGCTAGTGGGGCTCCTGAGAGGATCGAGATATCGACTCCTCCCGCCCTCAGATCCCAGTCTTCCGGTGAGTCAGGTGACGCTAGGGCAAAGGAGGTGTTTGATTTGCACATCCAGGAGATGCTCGAGAGGGGTGAGGTTTCTGGCTCAGTCGCGAAGGCGTTCCATATTTTTGCTGACCAAATCAGGTTACTGAACGGTCAAGTGAGTTCCATGCGAAGGGAATGGAGCGACGAGAGTCAACAGACGAAGGACAAGGTCGATCGCCTGGCAGCTGAGGTCGCGACTCAATCTGATGCCGGGAGGATGCGAATGATAGTTCAGCGGTTTGCAAGGGAAGTTATTCCCGACAGCAAAGCCATTGTGAGGCAAGCCATCGATGAACAGGCTGAAGTCGTGGAGCAGAGGATCAATCTACTTTCCCATGAGGTTCACGAATCTGTTAAGGACAATGAGGCTGCGACTGATCGGCTTCGCCAGATGATTCAAGAGAATCGTGAGGCCGTCCACAGGAGCCATGCTGCTTCCGAGGATGAGATCCTTAAGGACTTGGACAAGCTCGAGGGACGGATGTTCTCGGTAGAGAAAACCGTCGGGATGCGGACGCCAGCAGGTGAATGGAATTTGAATCCTGTCGCGCAACAGTCCGATAGGGCCAGTAGCAGTGTGGTGAACGCGAATTTCAGAGAGTTAAATCTGAAGCTCGAGAAGGCCCTCCTTGAACACGAGAAGTTTGCTAAGTGGGCCTCCGAATCCATCGGTGGCATAAATGAAGAGCAAACCCTTCTCGCTAATCGGATGTCGAGGCTGCAAAGTGGAAGGGGGTCACAGGCGATCGAGAGATCATCAGGGCCCGTATCCCCGCAGGACCGGCAGGAAGCAACGGACGAAGCCAATCGAAAGGTCCAGGATCTATCTCGTGGAGTTCAACGCCACCATGGGGACCATGACGATGTCCTTGCAAGGTTTGAAACCTTGAAATCCCGCGTTGAGCAGTACGAAGCGAGTTCGGGAATTCTGAATCAAGTTCTTGATGACATCAGAAGACAGATCCGCAGTCTCCCTGCGAATAGTGATCAAGCACGGTCTGCCGTTAGGCGTGAAATTGACTCATTCAGGAGTACGCTTGAGGGCGCTATGCGGAGGATCAGCACTGTTGAGAGTAACATGCGTACTCTTAATGGAATGAACAACAGGATCATGGCTCAGCTCTATGAGATCGAAGGTCATGTTGATGAAGCTGCTGGCATTATTCAGGGTGTCCAGGACAATCAGGCAAATCCCCCACAGCCTAGAGAGAGACGGAACGTCGGATACGACGCTTTCGCGGGGCAAGGACACAGAATCAGGTCTCCGACGCCCACTCCCGGAGAAGGTAATGGTCGGGGTACTGGCCTTCTGGTGAGACCGGGCGGAGGTGTTGATTTGGTTGATCACGCGTTGCCAGATGTGCCCGGTAGGGTCGATCCTTCTCGTGCAGACAGCCATCCCATTAATCCCGATAGGGACTGACAGCAGAAGCAGGAGGGCTCGGGGGTTGCCTGACAGGTCGCATTCACCGCCAGGGCGTGCGAGGGATGGCCCCCCGCGCGCGTTTCTCCCAATAGGGATGTGGGTAGGAATAGGAGCCCGAGGCCTGCTGCCGTCCCCGATAGGGGATCTGAGGTCCGGAGTCGGCAATCAGGGGGGGAGAGGCCGATCCGCGATAGCGGGAGCAATTAGCGGACCCAGGCCGTCATCCAGGAAGTGGTAGGGGTAATAGGGCCCATGCCGACATCCAGAGTCCCGGTGACTGGAGGACTCCTGGGAGTAGAGCTAGTGCCGACGTCCAGAGTCCCGGCGATAGGTGGAGGACCCCCGGAGCTCCGTCTGATCGTGGACAGGCCTCGGCGCCGGCCGCAAGAGGAGCTCCTGGCACCGGTGGCCCAGTCCCTCGATAATCCCAACGACCGTAGGCACCCGGACGCTGAATTCTCGTGTGCTACGTGCAATCGTGAGTTTTGCAGGCTTTGCCGGGGTGACGACGGGGACTGAGGATCACAGCTATTTTGGCAATGATGGCCTCGAGCAATGTGCGCGCTGCAATATTCGGCATGAACGTGCTAACGCTGGACCGCCTCCTCCTCCCCCTCCTGGGGGGGAGGTGGGCAAGGCGGACCACCCGGTCAAGGTGGGAGCGGAAGCGGTTCCATTTCCACCACCAGGTCCTGGACATCCTGGCGGGGCCAAGGACCCAGGACCCGCTGGACCTCCTGCAGCCCGAGTGGTGGGGCTCCTACCGGGGGATACCCTGGTGGAGCACCTGGGTTCTATGGTAGTGCTGCTGATACTCATGGAACTGGGAACAATCAGTGTGGTTCCAGTTTCTATGGTCCTGCCTACGGTAGCCACCAAGGGGTTGGCGCTGGCGTTAGTCAGCCCAACGATGCTGCAGGTTACCCCTCGAGTGTTGCGAGCGGTGGTAACCTTGGGCCAGGTCTTAGCCTTGGCT